AGAGTCAAACACTTCGAAGTATTACTGTACACATATAAACGTGTTTAATATTAAAGGTAAGCAGTCTCCGAAGATTCATTGCTATACACGCTTTAAACCATTCATTTAAAAAGTGTTATTTGTTAGGAGTTTGCTGGTTAGCTGGATAGCTCCTCTAGCTAGGAATCACACCGAGAGGAGGAGCAGCTAGCTTCATCTTTGGCCCTGACGTTACCTAGCATTACTTGGGCTAAAACCCAAACAAAAAGGAGGTCGCTATGCAAAACTGTTCATCTAAAGCAGCCGCGAACCCCAAAACGTCCACTTGGCAGATAAAACCGAAATGCTGAAATCCCAAATTTGCCATAAAAGGCTGAAGTAAACACACAAACAGCAATATCGCATACCTTCAAATTCTTCCATCCTTAGGTTATCCCTTGTCTGGTCCAGTTGCCGTTGTTAGAAAACGGCCAGACGTAGACAGAAAATACAAGATGAAAACCACTCTTCATTTCCGGCTTTGCTAAAACGGGAGAAATGTTTTGGTTTTACCCATTTATCCTGTAAGGAAAATTACTTTAATTTCCATATAAATTGATTCTGCAGTGTATTGTGAATTACTGATGTCATGTGCAGATCTACATTTTTGGTTTGTCTTTTTTTGTGTGTTTTGTTTGTTTCTCTGTGACTTATGTCGACACTACTGGGACGTTATTATCCTGTTTCAATTCCCAATGGCAGCTAATTATCTTGACACTACCGATCTTTGGCAACCGATAGCAACTGGGTTGTCCGATGCCGCTCGGTGAGCTAACATGCGAGTATTTCATTGGTGAAGTGTTCAAGTATGCACTGTTTATTTTGGACAGCAGGTGGGGCGTGGGAGGGAACTTCTGTCATGTTTCCCAGTATTACTCCTAACCATAAATTTTTGGGGGAGTTTGCGTAGCTCAGTTTTCGCTGGGAACTAGCAAATGTTGCTGTTACTGGGACGAAATCTTTTTTTTTTTTTTTAATTTTAGCTATAGAAATAAATAAAAAATGAAATGCTATTAGTTATTAGTGCTGTTATTGATACAAAGTTATGTTAATGAATAAATGGGCTGGTAGCTTTACCTTGCATCTCAGCTTTGTTTGGGGATGGTCATTTACAGAAACTCATTATATCAACCAAACAACCAAACTAGTGTGCTCCTTTTCTGCTGTTGTTAGCTCAAACACTTGCGCAGAAAAAACAGTCGGAAGTTCCTCATTTGCCATACTGACAACAAGTGTCATCTGAATGGGGGAATTCATGGACAGATGGTAAGAGGGCACAGCAAACATGTGCCTTTATCACAAGAGGGACGTTGTTTCAACACTGACTCCCTTTTGTGTGATCTCTCGCACCACACACACGCCCAAGCGCGATGCCTTTTCACCATTTCAAATTATAGCAATGGGATGATAAACATTCGCTAAGTCCTAATGTATCCTAACCTTTAAACAAGTTAATGATTTTACACACACATTCACGGTTAAACAGTGCACTTGGCATTAAAGTTTATGGCTCTCACTTTGTCAGATATTAATTAAGGAATGCGGTGCAAGTATTCCTATTAGTAATCCTATATGTGTATTTATTTGTTTATATGTATATTTATCTATCTAATAAAATAAAGGAGTAAAGGTAAAGTAGTTGGTAATGAAAAACTTTTCTGTTAAGCGTCCCTTCAAAGTAATGCGATTTTATTTTGAAAGTGATACTCGGAAGTCGCTTCGGTGTGCTTGATTTGCTTGACGTTGGTAAATTCTCTTTCATGAGCGCATTGGGGAATACCGAAATGGCAAGATCCGAGCCGATGTGATTGACCCCTGCGAATATTCGGAAGCCATTTATCCCAAACAGGTAGCATACCTTGCTGATCATATTAAGAATAATAACTGCAAGTGCAAAGTGCGCAAA